TAAGAGCGAAAACGAATGTCCACATATTATCTACACACTACTAGTTTAGAAGAAATCTCTATCCAAGGCAAATTCTTTACCCACATGATTGAGTGCATGTGGTGAGCCTGACTCGTTGTCACCTACAGCACTTCCTCAGATACCACCATCAAGCAGAGGACCGGTTACAATGAAAGAAAGAGATGTGATGATAATATCATGTCAGACCCTGGATGAGCTCCTAACAGTGCTGTTTTAAAGTGACCGAGACTGGCACGTGTTAAACAGAGATGTAAAGAAGGACTGCAGCAATGCTCCTCCACATCTATATCTATCTTGGGAAAAATACAGCCCTCGATAAATCCACGACCAAGGACAGGGCATATTTTTCTGGGACAACGTGGCAAGGACGCAGATCAGCCTGGCTTCCCCCCCCAAAAAAAACCCCATCTCATTTAGTTGTCTTTTAGCTCCATGCCAGGTCCTGTCACTGGCTACTGTAACCCTGCTCTGGCCGTATCCGAGAGCAGAGTGAAAACCGGGGCCAGGTTTCCAGGTACTCCAGGTCAGCTCAAGAGACAGTGCGGCAGCAGAGCGCCTATATTTCTAACATTATGAAGGAGCATTGCTTTTGAAGACAAAAACCCTTTACTCATAATGTACTGCCTGTAATGAAAACTGCAGACCTGGGAAAAACCAGGCAGTCTGCTTGTTATTTACTATTAATGCTTTGACACTGAGTAATAGTCCAGTGCCCCCACTTTTTTTCTTTCTAATGCACAGATGTGCTTTTTCCATTATAAATCTGAATGAGAGAGAACTGCAGGATTGGAAACTTCAGCCTGCTCCATCATACACACACACACACACACACACACAGCAGTGCTCCTTCTCTAACAAAAACATCATGTGCCGCTGGCTCTGCCAGACCCTCGCGCCGCACATCCCTCCCCGGCAGACCCTCTATTCAGCTCAGCAGGAGGACGGAGCCTGCAGGGCTCTCTTCCATGTACTATAGGCACTGCAGAGCCGATCCCACGTTCTGGCACGTGTTCGTCCTAGCAGGCAAACTAGGAAGCCCGATCAGACTTGATTGTTGGCAAAACACGTAATCTTCATTCATCACACACACAAAAAGAGATTGAGCCAGCATCCTTTTACAATGAGCCCCAATGATGCGTTGACTCAACAGGCAGAAACATGGCATTGACAACACATATAGTATTAAATATGTGGAATACAAAATCGAATAAGGGTCTAAAAAGTCATTTTAGAAATGACTGTGCTTTAGTCTTCTTAATTTGTGTTCATATACTTTTTAATCGGTTATGTAATTTTCTCTCATTCTCGAGCTCTTTTTCCGATTATATTTTCTAGAGCACAGCAATTATTTACACCTGCATCATCTCATTAAGAGGTTTAGACTGATTTTACACTTGATAAATGAGCAGTGCTCGGGGTTCTTCATTGTATAAGAGGAACTTGGGGATTTCAAATCCAGTAAACAATAATATTTATCGTCGATTTTCTTAAAGCCTGTACAAGCCCCTGGCGTGCTGTAACACACAATATAAAGCCAGGGTCAAGTATCCCAGCACTGTCCCTTCTCTCACCCTGGCAGTGCAGGGAGAGTCAGGTGTTGCAGGTTAGTCTGGGGGCTGCTGGGGGTCAGTAATGGTTGACAAGGTAGGCCATAATGACGTTTAGAGGGATTTCCTCATGTTGTATATCTGAAGCCAATGTTTACCAAAACTCAGTTATTAAAACTGTGAGAAATCAGTTATAACATCAAGAATTTTAAGCTTATTCCATATCGACAGCAGAGTATGTCAAGACAATCTATGAGCATTCTCACATCAGTTTGAAATTCCAAAGTGCCCCCTACTGGTCCATCAGTATCTCTTCCAGTACGAGCCTGGTCTCCCTGACATTTCGTACACTAGCGTACAGAGGAACTAGTTAGTTTCCAAGAACAAGCAAGACGGGGGTTTTCTAGTTCCATCAGGAAGCTCATCTCTCCAATGAGATTTCTGCTCAGAGGCTGGATGGAGGGTAGACCTCCCACTCTTTCAGAACACTATCAAGAGAAGTATTCAATAAGAGATGCCGGTATAATTTTAATTTATTTTAAATGAACGAGAAATTCGGTAAATGACCGAACATTGCTTTATTAAAATATCTGACGCAGACAGGTATCATTTAAACCTAGAAAAAACAGGTAACAAATCTGCTGCTTTTCCAATGAGCTAAAATTCATATATTTTTTCCAAAGATCAATCTACACTGTCATTGACGATCTGATGACATTACCGAATTACTGGATATATTATCAATTTCTTCTTGTGGTAAGACCAAGCAGAAAGCGGAGATTATTTTCAATCCCATCTGGCAGTTACCACAATTGATTTCAAATTTCATCAGCCATTTACAGAATTAAGTCACACACGAAGACAGTATTGAGGTACACAATAATGCTTGAAACAAATTAAAATTTGTACATATAGTTGAGCTATGTAAAAATGTAAAGTATCCCCAATAGTATTAAAAATATATTGCATGTATCATTTATTACATACTGCAGAAAAAGAAAATGAAAATAACCAGAAACATGATTTAATTCAGATTATTATAAATTTGTTGCGGGTGGTGATTTCTAGCCTAACAGTGGCAAAACCATACTAATAGTTTTGTGTCTGTCATAAGGTATACCCTACACAAAATTATTAGAATAATTATTCTTAAGCTATAACTCTGAAATTAAAACAGCAAGAAAAGGTTTAACTGAAAGAGGTGAGGAAACCAACTGTTAACTTCAAGCCCTGAAAATGAAACATGGGATTTAAAAATAAGTGAGGGAACTAAGGTGTCAGTAATTATATTTAGAAACAATGACAAAGAACCATTTGACCTGAGGCATTGACACATGTCCAATACCTTCACACATATGCATACAAAAGAAAATAATTAAAAAAGAGAGACTTGTGTTCAACAGAGGGTCAGTTTTGAAGCAGAAAGAGGTCAGTTCAAATGTCTGTTGTGCTTCTGATTAAGGCTGGAACGACTTATAAGATACTAGCCCACATGGTGTCTGAACACGATGATTTTACAGACCAGATGTGGCAAGCCTTAAACACAAGTTAGCTCTGTCTGCAACAGAACAGATTTTCAAAGAACAACAGCTGGAGCTGCAGCTTACTGCAGGCAGCCTGAAGGGTTTGCCTGGGTGAATAAATGAGTCTACGAACCTCCACATATTACAGTGTCAACTGATTGTATGGTTTTACAGATACAAGTTAAGAGGTTCCGATAATGTCACCCTCTTTCCTTGCCTATTCCCCCAACAATGCTACAAGACAACAAGCAATAAACACAACATGCACAAAATAACTTTCGTGACACAAACTTGCGTGGCAGCACGCATTATTTACTTCCTGAGAAGAGCAAAAAGAAACAGGAAAACTGACCTGCTCCTTTACCTGGCCTGATGAAGATCAGAGAAAGAATCCCATAAAATAACAAAGCTGCAGCAAAGCTCCACAAAAATACATATTTTAAAACACATTGGAAAGCAGATCAATTGAAATACACGATGGCGTTTCCTATTGAGTCTGTCAGTTCCTGGGAGCCTGAAATACGGGCTGATGAAATGCGGGTTGACTACACCAAGTCAGAATAAGAAAGACCGGAGGATTTAAGGCACCAAAAGTGCCAAGAGCCAGTTCCACTTATAGGAGCTGTGCCTTGGTTAACCTGCAGAAAACTATTTGACTGTCACAATTCTTCAGTTGCCAGAAAGAGTAAAGCAATTAGGTATACTAATTTGTTCACATTTATGCTAAAGCCAAAATAGTTTGAAAATTAAAATGCATTTATTTGCCAAGTCCTTTGGTTGAAAACAGACAGCCTCAGATCACAAGGTAATGTTCCAGATTCAGAAGGATATCCTTAACCCTCAAGTACCATAAAAAACATGACTTATTTTATGACGAAAATGTGTCATTCATTTATATTAAGGTATACAGTCTGCTTCCACAGCCTTGTTTATTAAGCCTGCCTTATTAAGGGGGAGGGGAATCAAAACAAGAGTAGTTTACTGCTCTGCTGAGTCTTGGTGTTTGCTGTATAAAGCAGTGACACATGGACTGCAGATAGCAGCCACTTTTAAGTCAACGCAACTGCTGTAGCGATGATGACTGAGCTCAAGGACAATTCTGTATGACTACTCGATTGAAACACACTGCCCTCAGGTGGATAGTTCAAGTACAACAACAGCAGAAGAAACAGCCGCGACCAAGAGAATGCTCTAGCTACTTACATTCTCTTCAAATAAGGCAGATGGAACAGGAAAGGGGTTAATGCGCAGTCAAAGGAGTCGAAAGATCTCGTAAAGAAATGATCACAAATTGGCTTATTTTTGAGGAATATGATTGTGAAGAAATCTGTATCAGATTTCCAGTTCATTAAGGGCTCTGTAGCACCCGAAGGGATATGTCTAAGAGCACTATGAATGGAAACATTTGATGTCTCCTGCACCACTGTGTGGTAGAAAAGCTTAATCACACCATCTGATCTCTTTTTTAGGCCTGGCTGTTCCACAAATTCCTTTCATATCACACCAAAGATAAGAACTGAGATGGGAGACCTCTCAGGAAAACAAAGTGGCAGGTATAAGTGGCACACGAATTTCCAAACCAAATACAAAACCAAACCAAAAACCAAAAGCAGTATGGTGACTGCTCTAGGACGTGCAGGGCCTGACTACTTGATCACGAAAGGTCATGGAACAGAGGTGTAAACGCAATTGTCCTGGGCATATACAATGTGGGCTCCCCAAGTATATTGGTATCTCAATCTTCTACCTGATCTGCTGAATAAAGGGGTTGATGGTGCCTGACTGCAGCCACATGTCACTATGTACTTCAGGATTGGGTGAGAAGGGTTCTGTTCGATGTGTAAAGCACTTTGGGTCCTTTGAAAAGAAAGCACTATATAAATTCAAGGAATTCTTAGTTATTACTCACCTCAGGCTGAATGGCCTTAAACACAGGAGCATCCATCAGTGTTATCTGACCCTATTGGACAAAACAAAAAAAGCTTTGATATTTTAATTCTTTCATTGAAAAAAATGACATCACAGCTGGAACAACTCGGTGATTAATGTAGTTTACGATAAACCATGTGAAACTGTGGACGAGTTACAACTATGGGGTTTTTTATGTCAGCTATAGTGTTTTTCATTCTTTCCTCCATCAGAGAAGCTGCAATATGAATATGAATCACAGCACTTTGATCTCTGAAGGCCTCAGGGATAACCGACTTAAGTTATAACCACTGATTACTGTCGTCGTAAACAGTCACAGATATGGATGCAAGCAGTTGATTCCCACTCTCTAGGGTTAAATATTGGGACAGTCTTCTATGTGGAGTTTGCACGTTCTGCCCAAAATCACAATGGTTTTCTGTGCGTGTTCCAATTTCCTTCAATTGTGACAGGTGTCTCTCAGTATGTGTGATTGAATATGCATGTCCTGAATGGGCAAGTGTTCATCCCAGGGTATGGTCCTGGCTCGAACCCTGTGCTACCCAGGCTAGGCTCCAGATCACCATGACCCTAAAAGCCACTCACTAAAAATGAAAGGCTGGATGGGAAAAAAAAAATACCCATGATGAACACATCTCTCCCTGTTTCCATAACCAGCGCAAAAGTTGCAGAAAAAATGTGATTAAATGGAGCCTGCTGGGTTACTGGGTGACCACAGAATGTGGAAGACAGAGCAGAAGCTTTCTGTGCTCTCTGGCTCTGGCGGCTGAGCTGAGAGCAGGACACGCATGCAGCTGCAGTGGCAGGGGGAGGTGGGGAGATCGCTCTCACATCCGCTGCCCTCTCCCGCGTGCCACCAGGAGACAGAGCGCCCCGCTCACTAGGGGAGAGGACACGGCACAGCCAGAGCAGGCCTGCATCCGTAATCGCAAGAACGATATCCAAGCGCCGGTGGGGAAAAACAGGATATACAAGCTGTGTTTAAAAAAAAAAAAGCCCCTTTTCCGTGCCAGACGGGAAGAATGGCCAGTCTGTTGTCAGTGAGAAGAGTGTGCCAGCAATAATGACAGGCTTTCGAATTCATGGATCAAGTCAGCTGAACGGGTGAATAATCATTACAGACATTCACATCCAAGAGTCTAGTATTGTTCCTTATGCTGTGCTCACTCTGGTTTTAGTCTAATTGGAGACTCTCAGTAAAACATTTCCCGGCAGGAGGCACTGACATTAGTCACAGTGCCCTCAGCTACAGGGCTACAACTGAAACATGTAATCGGATGTCTTACGGCATACTCCTCAGGGGTGACCTTCAGGACGTCAAACACCACGGCATCAAAGCTCTTCTTCAGTTCAGAGGAGCCTTTGTCACTGAGAGACTCGGAGCTGCTGCTCTTCTGGGGAAAAAAACATTCAGACCCATTAAAACCATCCGAGTCGAGGTACCGGCACACATTCACCCATCTCTCAGCACTGTAACACCCACAGAGCACTGCTACACACTGGGCCAGCTGACAGCACAGTCCCCTACCGTCACACACACTGTAACCCC